ATTTGGCGCGTAGTAAAAAAACAATACATTGAACCCTGCTGGTAAACTTATGTACCATCAAAAAACCCGACTGGTAAACATATGTACCACAGCAAAAAAATCACCAAAAAACAATAAACAAACATATATGTACCGCTAGGGACGAAAGGGTTAAGCTCATCTGCCCAGCTAGCTACAATCACAGGTCCAGGGAAATTGGAATCTTTGATCTCACCTAATGGGATAACAGACGGGTATACCATTGTAATAGTTTTCATTGCGACTTGTAATCCTCCATTCATATCATCAAGAATGTCTATATCTGGTCTATTAGCTCGAATTAGATTAATGCATTCACTTAGTGATGACGTTACTATCGTCATTTCTAAATCCTTCAGCCTATCAGAAACAATTTCATTGATATCATCCTTCCTATCTTCAATTTCTTCTGCTAATCCTTCTAATGTAGGATATATTTGTAACATCAAAGGAAGAATAATATTTAATGGATATTGGTAAGCTATATTCAATTCAGAATCTTCTAACATAGTTATAAATCGCTCACTTGAGATCAAGTCAACCTCATAAATATTAAATACAGATTCATTATTGGCAATTAGGTATTGAGACAGATCAATCCATTCTGCGTCAGTTCTATAGGCGGATAAAGATGTCCCTAAAATAGCAAAGCATACTCGGAAAGCTGCTGATTTAACTAGTTGGATATCAGAGGATAAGGCATCACCGAGATGTGTAGTTGTAAATGTTTTATGCACCCAGTAATTAAACTGTTGGATACAACCTCTTTTGATATGTGGAACAAGATGAGCATCATTATAATAACTGAGCAATACAATTACATCATTAGGAGCATGGACATTGTCATTCAGGCGAGACAAAGCATTAGTAGCTAATGCCCGTGTAGCTTCTGCAGGATTATTTAAACCTATTGATCCACGAAAATTTGATGTACTACAGATATGACCAACTATAGGAGCGAGTCTATAGCGTTATGTAACCAGACAGTTAATCCATACCAAGGAACTTCCGTAACAGGAGTTTGCAATAAATATTTCATGAGAGAATTGGAGTTAACGGGTTTGATGAGAGTAGGGAGTAAATAATAATAATAATAATAATAATAATAATAATAATGTGTTTATTAGCCAAAAAAATATACAGAAATTTACAACTAAGAGTCAATAATAATTTTCTAACAAACAAAAGACAAAGCCACAGAAGGAGAATTTTAAAAATTCTACTTGTGCGTGGCACGAAATAATAATGGTAATTAATTACGTAAATATAAATAAATCGGTATAAATAAATGTCTAAATCGGTATACATGTCTAAATCGGTATATATGTCTAAAACGGTATGTATGTCTAAATCGGTATGCATGTCTAAATCTATAAATATATGTATATGTCTAAATCGGTATATAAATTTAAATTTATAGTGTAAATTGATACACTACTTTAGACCAGTATGTAAGTAAAATATATATATAAGAGTAAATAATAAATAATTTGGCTTGGTATGTACGTATTATTTTGTTTATACACATAATTTTTTGAATATACTTTTATTTTCTTTGGATGAATTTATTTTTGATTTATTATGTTCTCAATATTTGACCTGGATTAAACATAAAATCCATTTTTCAAGATTCTTTTTAAAAGAAAAAAGACTTTTCTCTTTTTGTATTTCGATAGGAATGAAATTATAAATTCGAGGAGCCAAATATGAAGAAGATCTACAACTTATTAATTTGTTTTTTCGGGGTAAGTAATATTTATTTGCTTTATTTCTAGTTTGGTGCAGATGTCTGGTTTTATCGAGTTTAGTCTTCCCCTTATATATATTTATCGCAATTTTCCAAAAATAAAGTTGTCTAAGGTCAAATACCTTTTGTTCTGAAAATAAAATATCGCTTGGATAATTTCTCGATTTGTTGTGGATTATCTTTAATATCCATTTTTGTATTATATTTAGATTTTTTAGATAAACATTATAAACGCCACCCCACCCTAGTATACCATAATTCAGTTGAGATTGAACTAAAGAGAAATATAGAGTGTGCAAGTGTTTTTTGTCTAAAATGTCTCTTAAATATTTAAATCTAGATAATAAACCTCTAATTTTGTTTACAACATTTTTTATTTGTAGATCCCATTTGAAATGCTGATCGATGATAATGCCTAAATATTTTATATTTTCAACTTGTGGAATGGTTATGTTGTCAACATTTAAGGTTCCGAAGTGCGGTAGGTTATTATTGTAAGACGTGAAAGTAATAAATTTAGTTTTTTTATAATTAACTGTTAATGTATTTAATTGAAACCATTTAGTTATTGTTTTAAATTCCATTTCTGCTTCTTCTTTAAGCTTACTCCATGAATTATCACTATAGACGATAGCAGTATCGTCAGCAAAACTGATCACTATACCTTTTAATTCAAGTTCTAAAAGGCTATTTATGTATAGAGAAAAGAGTAAAGGACCAAGTACAGTACCTTGAGGTACACCATAGTTAATGGATTTTAGGGAACTTACAGTATTACCTAATTGAACACATTGAAATCTGTTAGTTAGATATGATTTTAATAAATCATAGATTTTTCCTCGTAGACCATATGATTCTAATTTTTGTAGAACTACTACTTCCATAATAAAAGTACTAATTTCCTGAATATCTATACATTTGATTTCAGTTAGTCCTATAGTCTTTATGAGGTTCATCCCAGAAATAACAGCTAATGAGGCAACTTCAGCATCATTTGATGCATGTGATCCAAATCGTTCTTGGAGACGAACTTTTTCAGTGTATGTAACATCGATAAACTCCTGGAGAATTCCTCTACATGCAAATTTGTATGATAATTGTCTATCAGGATTAAGTCCTTGTCTGTTTACATAACCTTTATTCTGAAATTCAGCCACACTAGCTTTAATAATTTCTTCAGATATCTCTCCAATTTTTGTTGTGTTGAGATCTACCTGTTCGCATTGTACTATTAGTTTAGGATTAAACACTAAAGGTTCATCCTTAATCCCTTGATTACAGCTTAGACACGAGGTAATAACTCCCCAGAGCATAGGAGGTACATTTGTATAGGGAGATATTTCAAGTTCTCCAAAGGATATCCAGATTGAAAAACAATAGATATGTAAAAAGTTTACTAAATGATGGTCAGGAGATAATTTAAATTGAAAATGGGTATTGCTTTCTCCTTTTACTCTCGTGTAAAGATTTGAAATGCAATTTGGGACAATAGATGCTTTAAAATCTCGTGCTTTCAAGTGATGATTTTGTGTTCCTCCTTTCTTTGGTGCTTGGAAAGGAGCTAATTGTGCTAGAGATAAGTCGCCATAAATTTTAAGTAACTTGTCAATCAAAGGTCTTGCATTACTCACAATGATTTCTCCAGTTGGTTCTGTCTTTGAATTGTTCAACCAAGATGCCAGGTCTACTAGTTTCTTAACTTTAGCAACTAAGATGTCTTTTTCAATGAAATGGATATTAGGTTCTAATGAGCCAGAAGGAGTAGTATATCCTAGAAATGGGGTTTCATCGCCCGTACTGAAATGATCTGAGTCTACTTTGTCAATAGTATGATTTGGCTTGCTAAAGAAGTAGGTAAAATGGTTTCTAGAGTTCCAATCATTATATGCTGTTGAAGTGGGATGAGTGACGGATACTTGATGTTGCATAGGTGGTAAAGATACATCATGGACTTCTTTACCCCATAATAGTTTTCTGATTTGTTCTGCTGCTTTCATAGGACAATCTTTAACAAGATAACTTAAGGAGACTTCATTATTAACATGGGCACCCTTTAATCTATTCATTCTCCATCTTTGTAGTCTTATCTCTGATTTTATAACCATATAGAGTACTTTTCTAGCTCCTTTCCTTTTGGATTTAACTATACATAATTCCAAAATACTTCTTCCTGTTTCAAACTTCTTAACAATCTCGTCTAAAGCTCCTGATGGAGTGCACGAGTATAAAATATTCAAAGCTTTTGCTTTATGAGGTCTAGCAGTATCTAATACTTCTAAGAAGCTTTTTCTAACATCAAACTCGACTAAAGAGATTAATTGTATAATATTTTCGTTTTTGGCCAATGATTTTAGTGCTGGAACTACAACTTTCCTCAAACATGCAGAGGGTAATGGAGGTTTTGTTGATGGTAAACTGTATGGGTCCTTAAGTAATGCTATGGTGGTTCTAGGAAGATAAGAAGGACCATAAAGGAACATATCAAAATATTGTGCTACAGAAGAATAAAATTTCTCAGAATAGGTGTATAAACATAAAAAATGGGATAATAAATCTGATTCTGCACGAATAGCCATGTTGGAGAGATATATTATCGGGAATCCGCCTAGAACATTAGGTATTTGCATTAAGGCTGTTAACATATCAACTGTAATGGTCTTGTAGTAAGATGAATGGACTATATACCAACATGCCCAGAAAATGGCCACTTTGTAACTTGGACTGCAAATAGTGCTAGTACGAGCTGTACTATGAGCATTACTAAAAGCAGAGGCGAAGTGATCATCTAATGTGTTAATAAATGCATTATTAGCTCCATAACATTTCTGTATTTTCCTAAAAGTCTGAGGTAAAATAACATTTTCAATTGATGTTTCTTTGGAAAATGCTAGATACTTATAGGATCCATAGCTTTCTTCTATGTTTATTTTATGACCGACTTTTGTCATAGTGTTTTTAATTCGTGTTACTATGATATTCTTGAGGTCTCTAACACTTTGCTGCCCTGTCATAATCTTAGGAATTAGAAAAATTACTCGTAAATCATCACCTTTACATAAAATATGATATCTGATTCCTAAGTCTGATATAGCAACTTTATTTTGATTAATATATGTAACAACCCAGGTGTCTTGGTTTAATCTTTCAATTCCTCCTCCTTGTCCTTCCCAGTAATAAGTCTCAGCAGCATCTGGCACTTAAACTAGACTCTTATTAAAGGCTAAATGGGTTTTCCCTAACATTTTTGTATCAAAGACATTTCAAAGTCCTTAAATGTAAATTGTAGTCTTCGGAATGCATCTAATTTCCTCATTAGAGCCGTTTCACTTAGAGTCATAGCTTGTTCATCACTAAACTCATCTAAATATCTCATAACATTCTTTTCTTGTGCTAATGATCTACATCTGTCTTCAAATGTTTTACATCCAAACCCTCTAAACTCAATTTTTAACTCTTTCTCTTTAGGAACTATTCTAATTACTAAATAATCTAGTAATGTATCAAGAGTTTCGTCCTCACAATACTGATCAATGTAATTCACATGATCATGAACCATAGTAGGGTTCAATAAATATGTTAATAATAATCTAGTATCTTTCCAAGATGATTTAACTTGTCCGTATTTTTCTCCTTGTTTGTTTATATACGAACTAATTACAGTTGATCTTAATGTAGAGACGGTCTTATCTTTCAAATAAGGTATTATATTTTCAAGTTTTGAAAATCTCATATTTGGGAGTATAACAACAAACACGTAATCTGCAATCAATGTAGCTCCATATCGCCCTCTGATGAAATTTGAATCAGGATCCCTTCCATGTATAAAAGCCATTTGTAATCCTTTTGGGGTATTAATAGAAGGCAACTCTGCTGGGGGCCATTTCTTGTACTTGATACAACTCTTCTGAATATAATCTGCTTTACAATGATTTACACATGTTAACACATATGACATATCAATCTCAGTATCTTCGTTCGTCTTTTGATATAAACTTTTAGCTCCTGCTTCCATGTCAACTATTGGATGACCAAAAATCTTAGATAGACAACTTATCTCTTGTCTCAGAGGTATAGAACATTCTTTAAGAATTGACTCTAACGTAGATCCAAAGTAATCGAAACCTGTTTTGTCATATAAATCATTAACTATTCCTTTGAGGAAATCTTTATTACTCCATTCTTCAATCTGGATTAGATTCTCTCCTGTAACAAGCCCTTCTAATACTTTCACTATGTTGAAGAATTTATTTTTGTATTGGATACCTAGATTACAACCTTCTTTAATAAAGTCTACCACAATATCATAACTATATCTTGGCAATGTTATTTCTTCACTGAATAAACACATTAAAAGGACTGATATAAGGTCGCAAATTTTGTTTTGATACATTAATAATACAGATTTTGGCATTATATACCATTCTCCCGACAATCCTATAATAAGATACTTATGAGTCCATCTAAATTCCAGTCCTAAGTCATTATAAGAGACACGATTTAAACTGAAGAAAGTAGACATTCTATCTGCTTCAGATAGACCTGAATATTTTGGTGAATACATTTTATTACTTTGAGTAATCGTTTGCGTGAGTCTATCACCTACCTCTAATAAAGCTAATATTAAAGACGTGACTGGTAGTTGTTGTTCTACAACTTTACGTATGATATCATTACGCATATATGTCATATTTCCTTGATGGCAGAAATTCATCTGCATTTCATATGTTAATGCCACAGTCTGTAGTACAACCTTCTCATGATCTCGAGAATTCCTATTAATTTTAATGTTTTCTGGGTTTAGAAGAATTTGTAGTAGTAATTTTGGATAATGGTCAGGATCTTCTTTAAGTATAGTAGATGTTGGGAGATCAGCAACCACATGCATTAACAATCGTTCATCCGGACCCAACAGCTCTTTACTAGTTTTGATGGGCTGGGAGAAACTGTCTCTAATGGCTGTATCAAATTTCCTATTATTGACTATTTCATGAGGGTTGTCCCAGAACACAGAAGTTTGGGAAAAATCCATTATATTAAACCAATATAATAGTGTTGCAGTTATTTGGTTTATAAGTTCCCTATTTAATTACTTTTGTATCTAATCTTCTTAGTACCAGTTACAGTTTATGTATCAGTTATGATTTCCGTCTCTAACAAGTTCTCGTAAAACACCAACATAAACAATTTTAAAACACTGAACTAATTATAATTAGTTATTGACGTATAGTCCTTTTTAATATCTTCTATTTCTTTTATTTTCTTCTTTGTTTCTTCTTTATCTTCTAAATCTATATTGAATTCTTCTAATTTCTTAACCCTTTCTTTGTTTACTTGTTTTAACTCTTTCATATCTTCATCGATTTTTTGAATATTTTTCTCCATTTTATTCATCTTCTCTTCAATTTTATTCATCTTATCTTCCATTTTATTCATGTTTTCTCCCATTTTATTCATGTTTTCTCCCATTGTATTCATGTTTCCCATCAGCACTCTGAACATTTCTGATACACTCATCTCTTCAATCTTACTACTTTCGTTTCCTATTGTAATTCTTGTTCTTCTTTCTTTTTTTCTTCATTGCTTCCTTCAATTTTCCTTTCAAGCGTTGTTGCTGGCAAATTATGTTCTTCTATTTGTGAACTGTCCCCCTGTCCTACATTTGGTCCAATTTCTTCTTCTGTTTGTTCAACCTTCTTTCCTTCTTTCAATTCAAACTTTTTTATCTTTTCCATCATATTAAAGTTTTTTTATGTTATAGTAATTTTAAACCCACATTTGTCAGTTTGACAGATTTAAAGCCCCACGTTGGGCGCAATTTGTTATGATATCGAACATAGATCATTTATTATGTTTATTTTAATTAAAGTATTTTTTTTATATCAGGGGTGCTTCCAAATTATAATATTAATACTTTTTATTTTGTTTAATTTTTTTTATGTAACCTATTTGAATTTTGTTTTAATTTTCTTTTAATTTTATTTCAATTGTATTTTAATGTAATTATAATTTTATTTTAATTTTATTTCAATAATCAACAAAATAAAAATTTACGACTTGACTTGTTTTATACCCTGTATTTTTTTTAATTAGGTAGAAAAGGGTTGTTTCTAGATTTGGGGAATGATGGATTTGTCAATTTTGAAAATTAAAAAAAAAAAAAAAGGTCGCAGAACACTGAACAACTTAACTTTTACATTGCCTTCATGTGCTCGATGTTGGGGGTCGTCAAGAAAAACCACGTTTATGAATGGGGTTTCACCCTTCGACTTGCCGGCTTTGCCTGGAACTCGAAATAATGGGCAGAATGGTATCTCCACACTACACATCTGAATGGGTCCAGGACAGTCTAGAATTTGTAGACCATGAACCAATGGATGGTGGACCCCACAGCATGAAATCAGTACAAGCCATAACGGCCACCATAATGTCTTCTCGTTCCCCCTTGAAAATGGCGGGTGCGTTCCCGCAAACATGCGGTACAGCATGCACTCAGTCGATTTATTACCAATAATTTAATATCCTCCACAGTCGGAGTAGTTTCCGTTACTATCCTCCCAAATGACAATATTACACAAAATTGGAAACTTTTCCCACCAACTAAATAGGGTGCTAAATACGGTATGGCTGTCTTATCTTACCGGCTCGACAATCAGGAAACAAGAGAGAGATTTTCGTCCCAAAGAACTCAAGACAAGAAAGATTTGACGTCTTTCCACCTAACAAGGCCTATACAATAAAAGAAATTCAGCCAGTCATACCATAGTACCAGCTGTGTACGATATTGCAGTATAAAATTAATTATTGATATAACTTATCCTAAATACAATGACATAAACCCCCTAAGAATACTAATTCCCCAAAATATACATTATTAAATAAAATGAACAACCCTTACAAAAAAGTGGCTGTATGCACTGATCGGACCAGAACAGCTAAAAACGAAGAACACTCCTCGTCTGTATCTGAGGAACGGGACTAACCAAGCAATTCCGAACAGACATCAATCGTACCAAACAATACAGCACAGGACAATGCCTAGAGCCGATTGATTTGATAATTAATTTGAAAACTGGTAATAATTCAAACATATGACTACCAAAAATAAATAAACCAATTTATTATCGGATTTATACTAAATTATATGCATTATAATAATGTAACTTGGATTAGAATAATATAAAATGGAATGTTATGGGCAAAGAGATGCTCTAATTAACCCAAAATAAGAATAATATTTTATACGAGGGATAGTACAAAACTATTAACTAAATTTAATGGTGAATAATACTTAAAAATAAAAACTGAGTGTAATTCTCAAATAATATTATATACGAGGTATGGTCCAAAACTATTAACTAAATTTAATAGTAAATAATACTTAAAAATAAAAACGGAGTGTAACAATCCCCCTCTCTTCCGAAGGAGGTTAAGTTCCAAAAACTTGACCGACGATAAAACCTAAGAAAGCCAAAAATTACATCAAAAAGACAAACAAACTAAAATTTACTAAACTTATACTGGAAAATTGTTATCAAGGTTAGTTTGATCAGGTTTTAAATCTTGCACATGCCAAATTCCTTTCTTGTCACCAGAATCATCCATCAACTCATATGTGCAATACCCAACCTTTTTCCGGACGGTAAAAGGACCAACAAACTTAGGAGCTAACTTAGCAGAGTAATAGTTAAGACCATCAGACAATGTCTTATTTCTTCTCCAAACTCTATCTCCTTGTTTGAATTCGACAGATCGACGTCGTAAGTCATATACCCTTTTACTGCGCTCATGCGATTTTTGTAAACGCACAAGTATCTTTTCATACATCTTCTGATAGCCAGTTTGTCTTGTAGCTATTTCTTCAGATGGGTCTAGATTATCAGCTGGAACCTGATCACAAAAATCTTGACCATAAACCTTAAAATCTCTACCAAAATTAATTAATTAATTTATTTATTTATTTATTTATTTATTTATTTATTTATTTATTTATTTATTTATTTATTTATTTATTTATTTATTTATTTATTTATTTAATTTATTTATTTATTTATTTATTTATTTACGGGTCAGAGCCCATTAAAACAATACAATTACAGATAAAACATATTACATACATTAAATAGTAATAAAATCACAAATAATAATAATAATAAATTAATTTAAATACATAAATATTAAAAACAATTAAAAATTACTCCTCACATATACATAAATGGATAGAAAAATCTGATGGAGAAGTAATCCATTCTACATTTAGTCTGTTAGCAGATCTTGTTGCTCTAGGAATAAAAGAGTGAGAACCATAATTTGTTCTATGAAAAGGTTGAGAGAATGTATTAATATTCCTAGTTACTCTAGAGGGTACAGAAAATCCAATTTGGGATAACAAGTATGGACAATCGGCAGATGAGTTAATAATGTTAAACAATATTTTAAGATCCCTTTGGTTTCTTCTGCTCAGAAGGGTCTCAAGATGACAAAGTGTGTGTAATTCGTCATAATTGTATCTGAAGTTGACCGGGACAATACCCGATTTAAATGCAACAATGCGTAAAAATTTTCTTTGAACCTGTTCTATATTATGGATTAGATATACATAAAAAGGATTCCATACAGAAGAAGCATATTCAATATAAGGTCTAACTAAGGCACAATAAAGAATATTTAAACACATCACATTATGAAAATCAGAAGTAGTTCTTCTAAGGAAACCCAACATTCTTAATGCTTTATTAACTGAGGCTGTTATGAGTTTGAAAAGAAAGGGTGGAGTCTAATATCACACCCAAATCTTTTACCTCTGTAATAGTATCCAGTGTTATGTCATTGATTTTATAGATATATTCAATAGGACTATGTTTTCTGTTGAAATTGATTGCATGACATTTACTTGTATTTAATTCCATTCCATTAGTACTACACCATTGGACCAAGTTATCCAAGTCTTTGAAGGCAAATACAATCACGTAAGGAATTTACACGCATGAATAATTTTAAATCATCAGCAAAGCAAAGGAACTGAGAATTCTTAAAACAATTTTGGATGTCATTGTTATATATATTAAAAAGTAGAGGTCCCAAATGTGAACCTTGAGGGACACCAGATGTAGTGGTAAAGCCAGAGGATAAGAAACCAGAAACACGAACAATTTGATATAAATTTAATATAAAAAGGACTGAAACCAACTGTCTCGTGACGAGCAGTACGTATCGCACAGGCGATAGCTGCCAAATGTTTGTCCCAATGACGATGATTCTCCTTAACATAGGAAAATATCATGGTTTTCACCACCCTATTGGTTCTCTCAGTAGGATCAGCTTGAGGCCAATAATGAGCCGTATAGGAAATAATTGTTTTATACTTTCTACACAAATTTTGAAAATCGTTACTTTTCATAGGTGTTCCATTATCACAAATCAAAAATTGTGGAGCCCCATACATTAAAAATATTCCCTCTTCTACACATTTAACTAACGACTTAGCATTAGCTGATTTTAAAGGAAATAAAATAACAAATTTACTAAAATAATCAGTTACAACCAAACAATGTTTATGACCAGAAATGCTACGTGGTAAGGGACCAATAAAATCTAAACTAATCATTTGAAATGGTTGCTGAATTTTGGGGCGACGTCCCATCAAACCAGCTGGAGCATTTTGCTCAGGTTTTTGTTCAGCACAAACTTTACAACACTTAATATATTTTAAAATGTCACATCTCATTTTGGGCCAAAAATATTTTTCTCTAACCCGCCAAAAGGTTTTAAAACCCCCAAGATGTCCTGAAGTGGGATCATCATGGCAACGCAAGAAAATTTCCTTACGTTTATCTTTAGGAACTACTATTTTCCAAAAATCGACAGGATTTGAAAGTTCAGGAACCTCTCTCATCCAGTGAGGATTTTTCGTTGACCAGTAGCGGCAATTTTGACGATTAGCATGACCGTTAACGGAAAAAGTGCACTCATCAGAAAACATAACGTTTTCTAATTGGATGGTATTGTTATTCAACATTTCCATCATTTGTT